CTGAGGTTTCCCCAGCATTTCCCAAAACCTGCACTCAGGGAGAATCAAGCTTCCCATTTACAAGTCAGTCTCTAAGATCTGCTTTGAGCTCACACAGGTCTATCTTTCCCAGCTCCACATCCTGGGAAATTGCCTAACATCTCCACTCTGAACTATTTCTAACAAGTAGGCAATGACATGACATGGTGTTTTCTACTGCCACTGCTGAGAGAGGGAGTTCAACTATGTTTTTCTATTAGTGTGAATAATATGGTTTTGTGAACATGGCCTCCATACACTCAACCAAAATAAGAATGTTTTTGAAACTGTCTAGCTAGCTCAGCAACCTCGTTTCTGGAATGAGCCAACTATTAGCCGGCAGCAAAAGCTCCAAAAGAGGGAAAAGAAAAAAAGAAAGAAAAAGTTTTAAGGGAGAGTTAAGTGAGGAAAGGAGGGAGGGAGGAGGGAGGATGAGAGAAAGGAAGTAAGGAAGGATGGAAGGGAGGGAGGGAGGACAAGGTAAGTGATTTTTTTTTTGCTTTAGCTTCCTTGAGAATAATCATAATACAGAGCCTATCTGATTTGTCTGGGAAGTGAGATATACTGTAGTATACCTTATTCTTTCTTTGTTCAAGCTCTTCCTGCTTATACTCATCTTCACGAGGAACATGGCTGGTGCTCTGGGAGACAGGGAACTTTCTCTGATGAGGCTTTGCCTTTGGTGGGGGCCCACCACTCCCTGCTTTCTGAAACAGGTCTTCAATACCATCAGTTCTATCAGTAGCAAGGGCTGTGGCGTTCATGGTTTTGTTTTATTTTCAGAGAAATCCCAAACTCCCCTTTCAGCAACCACCAGATTTATTAGTTTGACCTTTTAATTTTTAAGTGTAAACTTGTGCCTGTGTTTTTATGTCTTTATTCTGCCATGTTCCTCATATTTGATGGGCTCTCTGAAGGCTGAGGAATTATTGTCAGTGAAGTTATCCTCACAGAGAATCAGGGATGAAAATCACATGCCACTGCTTTCTTTTCCTAAAGATGTAATTGTTCTTCATTAATCTATAGATTGTCATAAATGGTCAGTGTGTGTATCATGGAGATGTGTGTATACATATATATACATATGTATATGTATATACACACATATATGTATGTCTGTGTCTGTGTTTCTGTGTGTGTGTCTGTGTGTGTATGTTTTGGAGCCATACCTGGTGGTGCTCAGAGCTTACTGCTGGCTCTGTGTTCAGGAGTCTCTCATGGTAATCTCACAGTGATGTTTGGGGAATGGAAAAATATGCGATGGTGCCATGGATCAAACTGCAGTCACTGTATTCAAGCAAGTGCCTTCACACCTGTACTATCTCACTGGCACAAGAAATAAGCTTAGATCATTTTAATGATGATCCAAATAGCTTTTTCCTTAGAATCTCATACAATTATTATTAAAGTATTTGACATTATTTTATTTTCTTCATTAATTCATTCATGAACTTAAAAATTAATGTATTAAGTGCTGAAGGTAAAAAAAGAAAAAAAAAAGACTGCACTCTGAATACTCAGTATAGAACCAGGAAGAAAAATCATAAAAAATGTAGAATACAAATCAACTCACGTAGAAGAAAAATAAAAATACTAAAAGCAGCCGAAGAAGGGTACCAGCTCCAACTTAGTCTTTGTCATCTAACTGCAATTCCCATTTCTAACACGAGGTCACATCAGGGGGAAGTGAATTCTTAAACAAATAGTTTATTTTACACATGTGTATCTATAGTATGTTTGTTGGTTTTGTTTTGTTTATGCATTTTAAATTTCAGTTTGGGGACTACTCCTGATGATGTTGGGGTTGCATCTGGTTCTGTGTTCAGTGGCTGCTTCCGGCATGGTTTGGGGACCATCTGGGGAATCTGTGAAGGAGACCATGAGCAGGGAGTGTGTGAGGGATTGAGCCTGGCCCTTCCAGATGAGAAGACACACTCAGTCTGTTGTTTACCTAACTCACCGGTCAGGTAAAAAGAAGAGAAATGGATAAGTGGGCTGGAGTGAATATACCATGGATAAGGCACTTATCTTGCATGCAGTCAACCCAAATTCAATACCTGGCACCCGAGATCCACCACGGGTGATGTTTGAGTACAGAGCCAGGAGTAAGACATGAGCATTGCTGGATGTGGCCCCCAAACAAAGAAACAAAAAAAAATACTGCAAAACCAAATATTCAGCCATTGAGATTATAACAGGATTGGCCAAAGTAATATTTTTGAAAAAAAACTGCATTTTAGGAATAAATATTCCACCCTATGTCCCCAAAGCCAAGATTCTTTAGAATCCCAAAGCCAGAATCTTTCAGCAAAGTTTCTGTGGCTCCTTGGGCTCTATTGACTAAGGTAGTGCTCTGGTGAAATATTCAGTAAGATTTTTCAATCAGATTAAATTAAAAGTGTTTGGTTATTACTCATTTAGCTCGAATGCCAAGCAATAGGAATATAGCTTTCTCTGAAACTCTTAGCTAATTGGTGTTAGGGCAATAAAATGTTCCAGATCGCTAATAAAAACAAAATACTGCTCACTACCAATATTTGCAATAGCTTTGACCCCAATTCAGAATTCAGTCCCAGGCTTTATTTAGGTCAAACATCAACTCCAGAGATTCTCAAGGGAAAGATTCTGTGATGTGCATTTTCTACTTAGCTCTCCATCTCCTAAGTTTTATAAACACACAATTTCTGTTCAAAGACAGTTTCTTGAAATGACCATTACAGTCTATGCACTATTGATTCCTGGCCCTCTGAAGAGCTATTTCTACAAAGGCAGAAGGTAATGAATTATATTTATCCTCACACGCATTTTCCCTGAGTCACATTTCCACATGGACCTTGACAAGGCTCTGGAAGGGGCTGAGCAAATGCTCACCTAGTCCAAGTTTACCTGCCTCTAATTCAGACCCCTTTAGATCCCGGCCTTCCTTTCATCCTATAATCCCCAGAGGACTATCAGAGTTGCTGTCGGTAGTCTGGAGTCTGGTGAAGAGGGTGTGGAAAGAGATATGTGTTTAGTTTGGGTTTTGGGATGCACTTACACATCTCACACTCATTTTTGTAGTTGGATGATTGCATTTGCATTTACAAGTTATTTCTTTTCTCTACAGAGATGCTGGCAAACTAAGTTTAGACCCTGAAAAATCCTGTAGGCTCTTCCTGTGGCCTCTACGAACTTTAATGGTTCTCTTATTTTACATCAACTAAAAATGGAAATGGAGCCTGTCAAAACCAAAGTGACGCAAATAAATTCTTTCAAAACCTGTTTCCAGATTAACATAACATATTTCAAATTGTTCATCTTAGATTAATAGTGCTTCTGCTCCCTTGGCTCACACAGATTACCAGCTAAGCATTCAAATAAAAAAGTACGTTTATGTCTAATGAAATGGACGATTCTAATCAAAAGGATATTCAAATATCATATAAGATTCCCAAAGCACATGTGCTAGGAACTTCACTGTGACAGTCTCTGGAATTCCCCTAAACACAAAACCCTCAAAACTCAGGGGTAAACTGGCTTTCCAAAAGATGCCCCAGCTTTTACATAGAACATACTGGATTAAAAGCATTTCAGAACTTAAAGAGAAAGATTGCAATGCTCTCCAACCCTCCCCTTTCATCATAGACTTCCAGAGTTAAAGCAGCAAATAATCAAAAGAAAAAAAAAGTTTCAGTATTACTCTGGAGAGTCATGTCAATGAAAGTAAAATACCAAATGTATAGTTTGATCATTTTAAATTTATTCCTCACCTTCCTGACTTCTGGCTCAACTTTTGGGATCCCTAGTGGAGAGTGTCCCATGGGCTTGTTCAGTACACAGGGACAGTGCCTTGCTCCCTACCCCAGCCCAGAAGCCTGAGTCCTTCCTAGAATGGCTTCCCCATTACACAACTCATGAACCAATAGCCTCAGTAGTGGTTATTTTGGCTTATCATTTTTATCCATTTGCGCAGATGAAAAGTGCAAGAAGTTCTGAAAATTTCCAGTTAGTAAAAAATAAATACAAAAACACCATGGCATGACATTCAGTAGAGATGGCAAAATGGTGCTAAGCACTTGGACAGAATATGTCCTGTGATACATACCATCAGAGAAAAGGCACATCCAGTGTTGACAATCTATTTCTACACAAAGAGTTTCATGGTTCTTACACTCATGCTTTTTCTATATTTTTCTTTTGTGAGCTGAATTTAACTTTTAAGGTGTCTTTAATGTACATGAAAACAGGCTGATTGACAACATTTACACATAAAATATAAAAAAAATCAATAACTGAGCGTAAAATGACAGTTTGATGCCAAAACAATGTAATTGTGTCTAAGATCTTTTCAATTCATAGAGAATTTTTTCTTAACATAGAATCATGAACTAGATACAATTTTTGTAAAATCATATCTTTAAATTTTGACTTATTATATTTGGTGGCTTCCCAAGTGGTACTCGGGTGACCTGGGGATCCCCATCGGCAATTCTCAGCCAAGTAGGTTGCTGGTTCAAACAAGAGCCCGAGAATGTGATGCTGCTCATGTTCGCAGTGGGAGGATTACCTGGGAAGTGCTGGGACCCTCCAGAGTTGCAATGCTGGATGCTTGGGGGACCCTTGCAGTGCTCAGAATTCCAGGTGGAATGCACACTAGGCCTGAGATTTAACAGCTATACTATTTCCATGTCCTCTATTGTGCATATTAAAAGACTGAGTTCCTGCTAATATTTACAAAGATTTATACACCACAGATTTACAAAGAAATCTGTAGTGTCTAGTAGACAAAGGATATTTTTCCATAATTGTAAGTTTAGGATCAAAACATCTTCACTAAAAAACACAGCAAAAATTCTCTGACATCCTTTTCTTTAGGTAAGAAAGGTTCCTACTGCAGGGATGAAAGTTTTTTGTGTCTGCAGATGGACTGGAAATTTCCATCTGCTGACTTGTTGAGATTTTACTTGGTGTGGCTGCATGGCAGAGTAAACTATGTTCCCTACCTTCATCTCAATTTGTTTGGTGTCTAGATTCTGAAATAGCAGCTTTACTCGAGTTTTTCCATCATCAGAAGATCCCTTAAGTTGGGAGAATTTAAATCTCCAGAGCACATTCTGTAAAGGAATGAAAGTAATTAGTGATTTAGAAATGAGAGCTTGTTTATTTAATCAATATCCAGTCATACATTAATCTATCTCAATAAATTATATAATCTATCTCGATAAATTTAGACATTAGCTTAATCTTCTTACCTTCAATGAGACTGTGGAATTTATTAGAATCCTCACCTTGTTAATTTTGTCTAAGTAAACCAAACTCACACCACCAGCTTCCTGACCCACCCCTGTCAATTGGAGCCAACTATCTGATGCCATGAAATCCTTAGCCTTTATCCATCCTCTATGCTGTTCTGGGTTAGTTCATAAGTATCTTAAGAAACATAGCTAGCTCCCTTTTTAAAGGAACTTTAAAAATCCAATATTAAGACTAAAAAGTCCAGTTCTTGCTATAGTACATGTAATAGAGACTATGCAGATAAGATGCAGATAAGATGAAACTTTTCATCCTGATTGACATGATAACCTGCTGGGGTTATGTTCAGATAATTTAACAGTTTCTCCTGAACTCTGATGAAAAATGTAGATAATATTAGCTCTTAATACTATTGCAGAGCTGCATTTAATGTTGGCTAAGATACTTTAAAGATTCTCTTTAGTAAGGAAAAGGACTGCACAAATAAAATGTAATGGCTGTCTTTTATAAAGGATCGTCTTTATTTATAGACACTCTTTATAATAAATCTTTATCTTCCCAGAAAAACACAATGGAGAACAGAATTAATTATGTTTTAGAAAACTATAGGCTGAATTTCTAATTTTATAGAAAGATTTAAATTGAAATAATTGATTTCCTTTCTTCTCTGTCATAAGAGGTAAAATATTGGGACAAGGGAGGATGTTTCAGAAGATTAAACCCATTTGAACCCAACTAATTCATTCATGCTTGCCATAGAGACCATAACATACATGACCCCATCTTTTTTTTTCTTTTTGGGTCACACCTGGTGATCTACAGGGGTTACTCCTGGCTCTGCACTCAGGAATTACCCCTGGCGGTGCTCAGGGGACTATATGGGATGCCGGGAATCGAACCTAGGTAGGCCACATGCAAGGCAAATGCCCTACCCGCTGTACTATCACTCCAGCCCTGATCCCATCTTTTTTGAGTGTTCATGAAATCCCATGTCCAGAAGAACCATTCCCATACTTTATAAGAGCTGGGACAGTCTCTGAAAACATTCCATGTCTCATCTGACATTGAAAGTGCCCTCTTTCTGATTTTCCTATGAAGGAATCTACAATCCTGTGTCTGTCATCAGCTTAGATATGGTGCTCTCAAATTCCTCATAACCCAAGCAAGAATCACCAAGCAAGAGTAGAACAGTGTTTGGTTTAAGCTGATCTATGAAGAAGAGTTTCCTAGTGCCTTAATATTGTTAAAAAAGAAATTTAGAAACAACATAAGGATGAATATTTCACATAGTATCATGAGTGACTGTTAAAATATTATCCACAAGAAAAACAAGACCTATTATATAGCAGTCTTGTTTGCTGTTAAAGAAATTTAATAAAAGAGCCCATAATAAGTCCTTAAGGTGCATTATTGTTACTTTTTGATCCTTGCATTTACACTGCCCTTCCTCTACTAAGCGAGTGATGATTGGGGGAAAATCCTGCCTGTGAGAAGTGTCACTCACAGCAATTGCTTAAATTTTGGTGTTGATTTTACAAGACAGCCTGGTTTGGGGTGAGGAAGACAGTCCTTTCTGGGCTCCTCAAAGGAACAGGTAGGGATGAAGTTGCTGGGCTGATTAGAGGATGTGTCCCTGCACAGCAGGCTGCTGTGTGGGTGGGTGGACACTGGGCTTTTGTTCTTTTCATCCCTTTCCCTGAGCTACATGGAGCAAAGGAGGTGATGTGAGAAAAAGCTTCAGTGGAGCAGCAATTCTTCTCTAATTATTAATTTTCAAATCACTAATGCTTTGAACTCTTTCTGAACTTTTCTTCCATGTACCTAAAAGCACTAATTTTTCAGGAAACAAAAAGATTTGTCATTTTCATTATAGATGACATTTCTGCACATTTCATCTGAAAGTGGTTCTGTGTAATTAAATTTCAGAACTTGGAGCTTTGGTGCAAAACATGATTGAACTCTCTCGGTCAGACTGTGACCAGCTCTCTGCTCACTGGGTCCAGGGATGCTGACAACTGCCCTGGCTCACGACCCCACCAGGGACACAAATCCATGGGTAAGAGTCCTCCTTTCATCGACAAAAGGTGGGAGGAAATCCTGATTTTGGCAGATAACATAGTTCCGGGGGTTAATGAAGAACAGTTTTATACTTGTGTGTGGCATGCAAAAAAATGAATGTTTCATTTTAACCACTATGTGAGTGAGGGATGATAATCAGTTTTACTTCCTTTGTAACAAATTCGAATGATTAAGATGTTGACAATGGAAAGTAACATTTTAATCCTTCATTGAAACAGCTGCACTAGCACTGCAGGAAGACTTTATGATAAAAGGATGAGGTATCTGGTGGTTTCCCAGCAAAACAACTGGCTTTTTTTTTTCTTTTTCTTTTCCTGCTTCCCTGTAAGGCCTGGAGAATCCCTACCCTCACCAGCCAAGCTATAACCAAGAAGTTCTCTCTTCTCCTACATGAAAGTTAACTCCTCTTCGGTCTGGGGATCATCAAGATGATAGAAAATTTGGAGTTCACATTTTAATTTAATGCAAGTTTAAAAATGAGGCAAGCTTTTTACTATGCCTCCAAGTAATAACTAGAGATGAAAAAGTTCCACTTGGATTCTAGATTTCCAATGGCTCTTCCTTCACCACATCCATTGGCTGCACTCGATTCTGAAACTCAAGAAGGTTCCTAAAGGCTCTCCAGAGTCTTCCACTGCCATAATGGCCAGTTAATGCTTATACTTTCTGGCTATAGAAGTCGGGGGTGTGGCTAGGTCAGAGGGTATAATGTGTGAGGCCTGGGCTCTGTCCCAGCTCTAAAAAAATTTAAAATACTAAATTAAAAAAAAAAGAAAAGAAAAAATAATGGCAGGAGAGATAGTAGAGGGGTTAATTCATTTGCCTTGCATGCGGCCACCTCCGATTGATTCCCAGCACTACATATGCCCCACTGAGCACCACCAGGAGTGATTCCTGAACAAAAAGCCAGGAGCAGCCAATGAGCACCTCCAGACATAAACCAATTCCCCCTCAACGAAAGAAATACATTAAAAAAAATAAAATAAATGGCTCTGACCGAGTTGATTTTGCCTCACAGTGAGCTTGAAAACAGGCAGAACTGCTTCATTTCTAGTACGAAGAAGGTGGGGTGGGGATAGAAAGAAGAGTCTTTAGGTTTAAATAATTAAATAATTATTTAATAAAATAATTTTAAAATGATTAAATAATGATTAAATAATTTTAAAATGATTTGCTGAAAAAAAAATCAAGCTATTAGGGAATGGTCTTCCATTTATTCTGTTAGGGCAGAACCCATTTTTGTGGACAAGCCCCTTTCTCTCGCCTGGCATTCCACCTCTCAGCTTGAGTAACAAGCAGAACAAAGAGCTGTGATGCGAGGCCACGCCCAGGGAGAGTTGTTTCCCTTTGCTGATGGCTAGTACAGGGGAGGGTGATTAGGGGGACACAGCCGCTTCAATCCTTCCACAGGGAGGTCTACGCTGGTGTGCAGCTTATCTTGTGGGCTGCTCTGATGCAGTTGCTGCCTCACTTGGGTCTGGTTTAGGCCCAAGGGTAAAACACAAATGGTCTGATTCAGGACATTAAGTAGCATACAAGAACTAATTATCTTGTGAAAAGAAGCATGGTAAATGACAATCTAAATATTTCTAAACCAAAAAGCCCATTTAATTTCTTTTTTGAAATGACTTACATCAAGGATGATGAGTATGGAGAAAACATAATTTTCATAATTATTAATGGTTTTATTCAGCAATTATTTATTTGATCTATTATTTCACATCAACCTAGAAATCATTGAAAACTCATTTATACAACATTCATAAATGCTACCCTATGTTGAAAGAATGAAGATGTGTCAAAGATCAAAATTGAAAAAGATTTTAAATTAAAACACTGATTAGATTTGGAGCCCAGCTGTATACTTCACAGTATATCTGGGAGAGCTTTTCTCTTTGAAAATGAATTAAAATATTGTAAAGCTAAAGAAATAGATGTAAAGAATACATCTGGAAACAAGGTCTGGAACAACTTTTTTTTTATACGATCATATTTTTTTTTTCCATTTTCATTTACTATCTGAACAGGAAGTGATGATCTAAGTGGTAGAAATTATTGAGATAAAGAAGCAGTTGCATGAAAAATGTTATGTTAACTTGTTCTTACAAAGAAAAATTTATAAAAAAAGGCCCATGTGTCTAGTTGTCTAGTACTGAAATTCTGCTCAGTAGAAATCCTGGTTTAGGGACACTCAGATGAGAAAGGCTGGATGTATCCCCAAAAGGCAGAGGTCAGTCCATGGCTGAAAGTTACGGTTGGGTTTGTCCTCTCCTGCCAGAATCTCTCTTTTCAAACTCTCCCTCCTCACTGGAACACTGGACTCTGAAGATGAGGTCCCTTCTGTGGAGGGACTACACACTTTGTTTAGCAGAAGGAGGAACAAAGAGCCACAAAAAAGCACAGGATAAGTACCAGAGCAGAACTTGGTTCATCTCAAAACACTGAAAACATTATACTTCACACTTCCCAGTCTTCATGGCATCAGGAAATGTGGAACCGATTTAAATTTTATTGGGCGAGTTTAAAGCTAATTCATTTCAAAGAAACGTCCTGGGGCAATGGTCCTAGGTTCATGCATGGGGCCCATACTGTGCAGCCTGTGCTGGGCACAGAGTTTTTAGGGCAGTGTAGGTAGACACATCGAAGGAATCTAAGAGACTAAGAATGCCACTGGACAAGTAAAATCAAGATCTTGTTGTTGGACTACATACGAGATTGAATGCAGAGTCCTGATCCTTTACTCCCTGGAGAACACAGGGGCTCCATCTAAAACCATGCTGCACCTGTGTGGCTGTGGGTCGTGGCTGCGGCACATGAGAGGGGCTAAATATTTCTCGTCAAGTTCTCAGCCCAAGTCAAATGCCTGGATAGTGCCTCCGAGAGCAGAAGGTCTTGGACCTGAAATTCTCACCTTTCATTTTAGTGTGGGCAGGGGGGCTGTGTGTGCTTCTCTTACAATTGCGAGGGACACCCCCGCTTCTCCTGTCCGGTCCCTGTGAAAGGTTGGGTGACTAGTCTAAGATTGATTTACAACAAGAATACCAGGGGAGACCTCACTTAAGGATTCAGTGACCTCTGTTAGTTCCCCAAGAACCTGGCCTGCAAGCCTGGGGCCCTAGAACCAGCTCTGTCCCTGGAAGTCCCTGCCCCCAGCCAGACCTCTGCTCCTACGGGAGGTGAGCATCACAGGCTCACTACAGGCCAGGTTTTGCCCACCACAGACCACATTGCCAACTGTAGCCTAGGAGAGGCCTTCAGGACTCTAAGAGCAGCAATTATAGAAGATGCAAGGGCATGCTTTTCATTTCTGCCCCCCCCACCCCCCCCGCACCCGCCAGTTTTTGGACCACACCTAGCAATGCTCAGGGCTTACTTGACTCAAAATTCAGGGATCTCTGCTGGCGTGCTCAAGGCACTGTATATGATTCTGGATCCAGAACCCAGGTGAGCAACATGCAAGGCAAGCACCCACCTAGTTGTTCTATCTCTCAAGCTACTGGCTGTTCCATCCTGGTACCCCAGAAGGGCCTGCTCTTAAATCAAATTAGTAAAAATCTCAACTCAGGTTTTCTGAAAGACAGGATTACTTGATAATCAAGGCCAAAACAAAAATAGTTCTTAAACAGCTCTGATGATTAACAGATCATGTAGGTATTCTTTTGATTGTGGGAGAACCGCTTTATTGCTTCATTCTCCCAGGGTAAGTGTAACAAGGGTGTGTGGATCTGGCTGAATGTCACACAATGTGCAAACAAGTCAGAGACTTACTCTAGGTACCTGTGGACCAGGATAAAAAAAAGTCACTTGTTGGGGTGGTGGGTTAGGGAGTCAGCTGCCTGCTCATTAGCTAAAGTTGATGCTGGTTGGTTGAATCATCGTAACATACAATACTAGGCCAAGAGACTTTGTTATCATTCTAAACAGGTGGGAGCTCCACTGACTAAACATCTTAGTCTTTTCTGGGAGGAAGCAAATGCCCAAAGACCATCATGAGTTTCTGACTCTGATTCAGAGCAAGCAGCAACCTCCGAGTTATCACATGGGTACCCAAACTTGTGATTTTGGACCAAGAACCATTTTGGTTCTGGGGCTCTCCTAGTTTTGCTGGATGTTTTCCCTGGGTCTATAATTTCTGTCTTCTGAGTGTCAGTCAAATCTTCTCTAGTTCTGAAAATGAACTATGCCTCTAGTCATTTCCAAGAAAATATCCCCGGGAGTCAGTGAGTTTATGGGGTGGGAACCCTGGCCAGGAAGGAAAAGAACACACGTTGAACAGAGGAGCTGCTTCACGGGTTCAGCTGACTCTAGCGACTAATTGAGAGATCATCCACAGGCTTTGTGAGAGGAGCTTGGAAATAGGTATCTGTGAGAAAGGGAGACCTGACAGCTCTGAGGGCTGAGGTGATTCCGTGCAGGATGTCTGGACTTGGGTGGCAGACAGTGCAGGCCTGTGAAATGGACAGCCTGAGGTGGATGCATGCACTCTGCTTACATTCACTCTTCATTAGCAGAATATATTTTTTTTCAAAAGATGTAAGGCATCACTTTTGCTTTATGTGGGTAGAGCATTTGGCAGCATTTATGTGGTGAGGTGAGTGCCCAGGTCTCTCAGAGATCAGGAGAGAGTGGTTTGGTTTCCCAGGCTCACTTTCATGGCCAGTATGCCTGGACTCCATCCTGAAATGGGCAATTGAGGACCTGCACCAAGTGTGGCCCTGGTGGCCTTCTCACCCCAATGCTACACTGGGTTTTATATCAGGCAACAGTTACTAGTGCTTTTTAGTGTTTACTTTGGTTGCTAGGTCTTATTTTCTGGATGATATCAGAGAAACCCTTATGGCTGGCTCCCACTCACACTTGTCTCAGCGTCTGACCAGTGTTCACTAGAAACCTGAGTTTCTTGTTGGCTCTTGGAAAGCAAATCAGCTGGGAAGGTTCCACTTATGCACACCAGACTAGTGACTGTTGGGAGCATCCCACCTAGAGATTGGTACTTCTGAAATGTCATAAGGGACATTACTGAGAGAGTTAAAACATGGGCTGGTGGACATCTTACCTTTGTCTTACTGTCAAAACAGGTGAATCCCAAAGCAAAATCCACGGTGAAACACAGGATTTCTCCTTGCCAGCTGCAGGTGTATGTTTTGGACTAGAAAAAAGTATTAATTTTGAGAGAGCATTCTTCAATAATACATGTAACATTCATTAGAGAGTACAGTTTTCCCCCCGGGATCAAAAGATAATTTTAAAGTCCTGACATGCAGACTACAATAAGGAAACTGGAGGTCGTTGGGTTACACGGAATCTGGGAAACATTCTGTAAACAGACCCACCTTTCTTGTGTTTTGTTCATCCACAAATATTTTTTGTACAAATATTTTTTGTAAGACTTGGGCCATTTCTACATGTCTCTCTATAGCTAAAAAGAGACAAAAGAGAACTCCAGAAACTTCTCTCTTCCAAAGGTGTTTGAAAAGTCATGCCAGTTTATTAATTTTCTTTTGCTAATTCATTGCAAAGGACTGAGGTGCAATACATTCAATATAAGTGCCCAGCAGCTAAATTTGTAGTCAAAATTGCACACCAGTGGTAATCTTCACGTGGCTCTTTCTTGGGAAACACTGAGAAGAATAGTTCATCATGAACAACAATAGCAACAGTGACAACAGCAAAAAGTGAACAAGAATCCTCACAGGAGGCCCACAGTGGCTCCTGTTCCACTGGTGAGGCAGTTTTGGTGACAGACGTTGCAGGAGGATAAAGCAGAACACTTGGAAAGCTTTGTCTCTATGGTACTGACACTGGGAGTCTTGAGTGCACATACACATGGGGGCTGGCTCCCTCCCTATGTATCTTATGCACACACACACACACACACACACACTCACTACATACATTCCATACTGTGAAGACCTACTGTGCACACAAAAGAGTAGAACACATTGTACACCTATACCACACACATCACATATACACACATACACACATGCTGTATACACTCACATACATACACACAATATTCAACAGACACAGGCACCCCCCTCTCCACACACACACATACACACACTTACACAGAGGCAGAACACATGCCTCAAACACATCCCCAGCATGTGGGGAAACAGCTTAGAAAAAAATGCAGAGATGTGTGCTTCCCATCTTGGAGACCATGCCAAACATGAAGTTTTATTAAGAACTTGTAAATGTCAGATTAAGCACCATCTTAAAAGCTGCTGTGCTGAACTGGCAGTGAAATGTGTCCACTCAGAGGGAAAGTCATTGAGTTGTGCAGGGAATACATCTGTACCATCTGGGCCCATCAGTCCCTGGAATCTGTGTTTCTGAGTCACCAGGTTTGGGGAAATGTCATTGTTATAATGTCCAGCATATTTGAATCCTGTCTCTTTTCATCCTCCTGGAAATCCAGTGGCACAAACATCAAACTTGCTATCGTCCAGCGGATGTCTTCACTTGTTCCCAGCCTGCTCTCTCTGTTAGGGGCACTGGATAATTTCAATTGATCCATACCCAGTTCACTGACTCTTCACCACTCTGCTGGAGATCTCAGCTGCGGAGCTTGTTAGTTCAGTGACTGTAATTTCCATTTCTGAAACTTCTACTTTGTTCCACTTTCACAGAGGAACACCTTGCTGCATCTTTGGATTTCTCTGCCTAGATTTTCTAGTTACTCATTTGTTTCAAAGTGTTTGCACTTGCTTTTGAAATATTTTCATCAAGACTGCATTTAATATTTCTCAAGTGATTCTAACATCTCTGGCATCTTGATTTGGCATCTATTTATTTTTTTAAAACTAGGTTTAAAATATCCTAGGTTCTTCATTGGAGCAGCAATTTTTCTATTGAAACCTGATTTTTTTTTTAATTTGATGAGACCCTTGGACTCTTTTAAACCTTCAGCTTAAGGAGCTTTTGCTGATGTACTTTCAGCAGAGGAGGGTCCACTAGATGAAGGATGGTTCTGGCCCAGAAACTCTTGTTCCCAGCTGGATCTCTTTGCTGCTGGGTTTAAGAGGAGTTTTGATCCCCTTCTCGTCTTTCTGAAAATCACACCTCTGCATTCCTGACAGGCTCAGTGGAGAAGAGTGAGGGGGAAACTCATTCCTGACACCCTGTCCCTGCCTCTTAGTACTCAAAATGCTTGAGGGGATTACCTCAGATTGGCAGGGTCTAGGCTGCTCTGTCTCTGTGGAGGGACTGGGTAACCTGGAAGTCTCTGTGGTGTCTGTGTATCTGTGTCGTTCTAGTTCATTCAATCTTGATCCTACTAAGCCTCTGGCTACACCGAGTGGGAACCACATAGGTCTTTGTCCCTCATCTTTTCAGACTGCCAACTTGTTTGTCTTGTATTGGACACTTGAAAGAAAGTACAGGCTCTCAGTACTTTATGCTCCTTATGCCCCAAGGCCCCTAGCTGTTGGACTCCTGTCCATGCCCATTGTGGGGCCATAGCTTGCTCATGTCACACTCCAACAAATTCACATTTTTCAAAGCATATTTAATCATCTGGGGCGGTGGCTCAATTGGCAGACTTTCATGTGGGATCCTAGGCTTGATCCCTGACATCGTGTGTACCCTTCCCTAGCACTGCCAGGTAATGACCTTGACTTGAGCTCTGGGGTCAAGATCTGAATTCCCAAGAACTTCATCATGTGGAAATGCAATAACAACCTGCAATAACAACAATACCTGAACAGTCAAGCTTACTTGTTGCGTCAGTGGTCAATATAGGAAATAATAATCTAGTAAAGTTATTATTAAAAAATAAACTTGCTACTGAGGTTCCAGTGTAGTATTTTAGATGATATCTGAAATCTTGGAAGTATTGCCAAGGGATTTACTTCATTACTCTATTTAGAGACAACCTGAGCAAAGCCAGGTACAGTAAACCAGGAATGGAGACTGTCACCATTGTGCCCAAAGGTATAGTTCACACAGGACAGACTACTCAGGGACCACAGCCATCAGTTCTAAGACTGCCCCATGGAAAGCTCTGTTCACATTCGCTCAGGACTGAGTCCACTGACGACCCCTTATGGTTTAAGTGAGAGCCTGGCCTGATAAAATCTGCTGCTTGGAGCTCTGGTCGATACCTATTCCCTGGGGGTGAGGAAAGAAAGTTCCCTCAAAGGAGCTCAGGGAAAGAAGAGTGGGAGTTTTCACTGGTTGCTTACTGGCTGGAAGTCCATGTGTCCACCTTTCTGGAGAAGCATTTGAAGAGAAATTGATGCTTGAATTGAGCAATGAGAAGATAGTTGGAGAGCCTAAGCAGTTCTTCCATCTGAGAGATCCCAGCTCCATTGTTTAACGGCCCCCTGTGAGAGAACCCCTACTCACTCATGAGGATTTCTGTCTTCAGATTCCATAATCAGGGAACCTTTAAATACCTTCATTTAATTTTTGAACAACACCGCAGAAAATTAAATGTGCTACAGTGGCAGAAAAAAATCAAGATAATAAAAGACTAAAATAGCTTCTCATAGGACAGTAGATTGTGAACTAAATTAGGCTATGATTTAAAAAAAAGGCATTAAATAGCACATTCAAGTTCATTTTCAAATATGTTTAAAAAATTCACACCCTGGTATCATTAAATAAACAAAGACATGAATATTAGCCTTTTAAGTGTTACAGAGAACATGCACAAAGTATCTAAATAAAGAGGCATAATTAATAAAAGAGCTAATGGAGGGATTCTATTTATTCACCTGTCTCTTGGTGGGATGAGTGTTAACACTTATGGAAGTTGGGCTGGAGTAGTAGCTGGGGCTTAGCAGGACGGTTGGCTGCCTTCACAACCTTGTTTCAAGTTCCCAGTTGCACGCCTGCTGATGCCTTGACGTCAGTGGAGATGCTGAGCTGCCCTACATCTGTTGAAGGATTTGACCTTTAATTTTAGTCTGGAGGTCACTGAGTCCCAGGAGGCCAAATCTTTCTTCAATCCTGGGCACAATGAATTGTGAAAGGAAGCTAACAGAAAATGCTTCAGTTCACAATGAACGTCAGAAAGCTCTGAGTGGACTCCACAAGGATTTTTTTCCTACAGCACTTTAGAGCAGTTATAATAATAACACTGCAATTTACAGCATACTCCTGTATGTCAGGACCTTGTTATGTACTTTGCATTAAATTTCCATGGTGACCTCATCAGGCAGGTGCTTTGGTTCTCATTTATCAGGTGGGAGATGGAGTCTGGCATTAGCACAGCTTGCCCCAAGGCAGAGGTGACAGGCTGGGTGTCTAATAGCTGCACTCACTGCTTCCACAAAACATGCATTTGCATAGCAGGGCTGGGTCTCACATTGCTCATACATTGGTCCTTATAGGATGGCAATGTCCCCAAAAAGATATGCTTGAGTCCTCAACCGCTGCCTGTGAATGTGCCTAAGCTAGAAATGGGGGCTTTGGAACTGTCAACAAGGTAATTTGGGGGGGCATACTCATTCAATGGGGTCTTACAAAAAGAGCAGATATAACATGTTCTTGTGTTTTGTGTCTTTGGGGGGCATACTCATTCACTAGGGTCTTCTACAAAGAACAGATACAAGATGATCCAACATGTTCTGTGCTCCGTTTATAGGATTGAAGCAGATAGGAAGGAAAAATGGGTCTTTTCTTTGACTCTATGAACACAACTGACTGTAAGCTTCACCATCTTTCGTAAGCATGAAGATTTGTTCTTGATTGCTGTCTCAAAGACCAGGGCTTTCTTTTTTTCCTCTAAGCAAAAACAGGAGCGATAGCACAGCGGTAGGGTGTTTGCCTTGCACGCAGCCAACATGGCTGACCCAAGTTCGATTCCTCTGCCCCACTCGGAGAGCCCGGCAAGCTCCCGAGAGTATCTCGCCCGCATGGCAGAGCCTGGCAAGCTCCCCGTGACGTATTCGATATGCCAGACACAGTAACAACAAAGTCTCCAATGGAGTCGTTACTGGGCCCGCTCGAGCAAATCGATGATCAATGGGAGGGCCTTTACCTTTTACCTTTAATTTTTCACAAATCTGTATTTAATTTTATTGAATCACTGTGATCTAGAGCATTACAAAGCTGTTCATGATTGGGTTGCAGCCATACAATGTTCCAATACCCATCCCTTCACCAGTGCAATTTCTCAGTTTCCCTCCCACCAACTAA